GGGAGGGTTTTCAGGGGAGGAAGCATGTGTGAGCCACTCCTCGGCCCACTGGGTTCATGCCAGCTTGTTCTCCAGCAGCAAGAACCACAACGCTGGAACCAGAGACTTTCCTGAGAGGGAACCCATGGGGAAGATCCCAGTTTGGTCTGAACTCTGTACATGAGCAGAGGCTTCTCTTCCCAGCATTGGTAGAAGGCCACTGAAACACTCCCAGATGGTGCAGAACCGAGGCAGCGTCTTTCTTGCAACCGATGCCCCTGCCTAGTTACGTGGCCCTCTTGGTGGGTGTTCAGCATATTTTCTGGTGGAAGGCGCCGATGGGAGGAGCTGGGAGGACGGCCGCGCAATTGGTCACCGCACTAATGGGCCTTGTTACCACGGCAGCGCACAGGTGCGGGATCCAAACGGCCTTGCCCACCTGGCGGGCCGCGCAGGGGGCCCAGGAGGCCTCGCCTTCCGGCCGGGGTCAAGCAGCCAAGGAAGAGCCCCTCGCCAAGCACCCGGGAGCCCGTCCGGCGGCCTGCGGCGCGCTGAGCGCAGGGGCCTCGCTCCGCGCCTTTGGCGAGGAAGGGTGCGCGCCCTCCGGGCCGCCGCCGCCGCCGCCTCTTGCTCTGCTTCTGCAGCGTCTGAACAGCCCGGCTTCCTGTCACGTTTCTCCCCCGCCCGTCCCGGCCCTTCTCTCGGCTCTGCAGCGCCTCATCCGCGTCCCGCGGCCGTCCCCGCCGCGGGAAACTTCGCGCGGCTTCCGGAGGCGGCCCGCCGTCGGATGCGCGCAGCAGGCGCTCCCTGGGATGCCTGGCGGGGTCGCCTGGCGCCGCCCGAGCCTGCGGACCGCTGCGCAGCGCGGCTGAGCGGGGCCGGGGAGCGGCCGGTCTCCGAGGTAAGGGGCGCCCCGGCTGAGGCGCCCGCCGGGCTGCGTGCGACCCGCGACGGCGCCCGGCGCGGCTGCTCGGGCGAGGGCTCGTGGCGCGGGGAAAGGCGCGGGGAAGCGCGCTCGCACCCCGCTCTTCCCGGCCTCCCGGGTCGGGGCCGCCGCTCGCGCTCCCGGCCGAGCGAGGCGGAGTCGCGTGCTTACTCCGGAGTAAAGCGAGGGGCGCCATTGTGGCGAGAGGCAGGAGGCCGCCTTCTCTCGACGAGCGGTTGCGCGCGAGGAAAGCCGTCGGTTCTGGTTAGCGCAAGAAGGAAGCAGCCTTGATACGCCCTGGCAACGTGGGGGGGGGGGCTCTCCCAGAAGGGTGGGGTTCCAACTCCCATCAGGCCTGGCCAGCTGGGCCAGGGGTCAGGCAGAAGGGGAGTTGGGTTGCGCACCAACTGGAAGCAGCCCCGCTAGAGGAACCCACGGACAGGTGGCTGAAGGGACTGCTTGTTGAATTTTGGTTTGTAGGCTCTTTGGGGCAGAGTCTTGGGGAAGGACTGCCGTGACCTTGCTGAACTTGAGCAGAGTTGCTTCTGAGCGTGCACGTGTCGGATCCCTCCACACGAGCCCCCTGGAACTCTCCCTGCCATTCTTGTCGCTTAAGCTGTAGGATCAGGGAACAAACATCTGAGCAGAATTCTCATCTTCCTCTTAAATGCATGAGGTAGGGACCCCACGGTTTTTTGATAGTGACGGAAATGCATTCTGCACCCGCTCCCCCAGTCCGGTGTTCTTAACATGTGTTGCATTACAACTCCCATCTTTCCAAGGCCTCAGGAATGTGCCAGTTTGCTGCATGCAGAGAGATCTGGGCTTATTTGTTGTGCCATGCAAGAACGGCATCCCCCCCCCCCCCGAAATGGTGCAGGCTGTTCCACCTTCTGCATATGCTTAGATCAGACCTAAGTCTTCCATGGGACAGGCGGACTTCAGTCTTGCAATCTGAACCTTGGAGCCCACCAACTGGTGCCGAGGGCAAAATGATGGCTTGAGAGTTGGCAGAACATGTCTAATATTCCACTTGGTACCTGAGCTCACAGTCCAATACACTGCAGGGTGGTTGAGGTATATGCATAGGTTGTTGTCAGTATTGTTCAAAAACTGGGCGGGATAAATCGCTAGAGATCTCCTGCTTTGTTGCTTCGAGATCTGATGGATCCCAATCTCCCTCTGGCTTGCCCCTGCCCTGATGCAAATCCCCAGCCCCTTTTGCAAAGCTCAGGTGTTTCTGGCAGAGAAACGCTGCAGGAAAATTCTGCTGTGCCTTTGGACACCCCCGGAAACCAGGTCAGCAGGATGTGGAGCTTCGCATTTTGGACCGGAACTGGGGAAAAGTGGGTTGTAGGTTCCTGCTTGACCATGATCCCAACTGGGTGACTGTGGGCCAGCCGCCAACTCTCAGCCTCACAGGTGTGTTGCGAGGATAAACAGAGACAGGAGGACCAAAGACGCCACAGCAGGGTCCTTGCAAGAGGTGGGATACGTAATTATATTAGTTTCTTAATCTGGGCCCAGATGTTGGGAAGACTACTAGCTTAAGGCCAGCTAATAAATGAACTCTGCCCTGCCCCACACACGCACTTTCCCCGTACTCCAGCAGGCTCTTTCGGGAAAGAATCTGCGACAAGATGCTCACCTTCTCAGTACTGCTTCGGGTGTTACTCATTCACCGTCCCTTTTCTTTTTTCTGCCCGCCCACACACCCTTCCTTCCTTCCCACGGCATCGCTTTCTCGCTGGTTACAATCTCCTCGCCACTGAGTGTACAGTAATATTCCGTTTGCACTCTCACTGCCGCTTCCTCCTGGTCTGAGATCGCTCTGGCTCCCTGTCTGTCTGTTTTCTCTCCACCACCACCCCACCTCCAGGTTTCTTTTCCACCTCGAAGAAGAAAACAATAGCTCTGACTGACTTGGGGAGGGTATTTACTGAGAACAATTGTGGATACACATACCGGGTGAGTGCGGGGTGAGTGCGGACACTCGGTGTATGATCTGAGGCACTTCTTCTCATTCCTGGTGGGGCTAAGTCCTTGAAAATGGATTCTAAGCGTTACTGATCCCAAACTGGATAGCGTACAATTAACCAGGGGATGTGGCAGAGGTCTTGGGTATATTTCAACATCATCTCAAAGAGGGCAGTTTAAAGTAAGAGGCTTCATTGAAGCCGCTTTTCATACTTCATAAGAATTACAGAAGTTATACCTATGCTGGGAGCACAGGATGCAAAATTGCTGAACCGAAGTATGTCTGAGTTTCGTTTGTACCTCTCTGAGACACTTCTGGGAAATCCCTTGTACACCTTGAGTTCCACAGAAGACAGGCAGGATATCGATGTCTTCAGCAAAGGAAGATCAGTCACTCTTTCTCTGTTTGATTTTTTTAAGCCAATGGATTACTGCTTTTTATAGGAACAGCTAGAAATGTTAAAGGACATTTAACTGCTCATAGCAGTAGCCACTCGGTCTATTAGAAGAGCTATGGAAGGACAGGTCTCTGCCGCAAGGGGGTTGCAATTTAGAAAATGAAACCAGGGAGGAACAGAGGTAGAGAGGAGGAAAGGAAGCAGTTGTAAGAACAGCACAAAGCAGTTGAGTTCTAGGTGCTAAAACTGCCACGGGTTACTAGTTGGTTCCCTCCTTCACTTGGGACACACGGCCACCTTGGCATCTGTGCCTTTTGCACGGTCAGGAGGAGCACAGGGATGCAGCTTTAGGCTGATGCGCAGCAGTCCCTGGGCTTCTGGCTGCACACCCTGGTCCCTCAAGAGCAGCTCCAGAAGGTGCCACCTGCCGCCTCCCTCACTAGCCTCCCTCCTCTGAGGCAGCGATTCCCTTGCAGTCCCTCTCCCTACATCCAGGCCTCCATCAGGGCCCAATTGCCCCGTATCCTCCGAACCTGCAAACCGTTTCATCGCCCCCAGTCTTGCACTGTGCTATTTCTCAGCAGACACCCCATTGATCTCTGCCAGCCGTCTGGGTTCATTAGCAGGCCCTTTTTCCGCCACTGCTTTTCCTGATCCCTCCTTTTCCACCTCTTTGGTGACCCTTGGTAGTTTGTTTTTAGCTCTTTGGATGTGTGCTCGCAGCCTGAGGTGGATTCCAAGTTCTCGCCTCCCTTGAACTTCCTGCCTGCCTACACTGCATTTCCCCCTCCAGCTCGGGTCAATAGTTTTAATGGGGGTGAACATTTTTTGGGAAGCTAAGCCTTTCTGTTTTCAATTTGTTTGTGGGCTTCTGGAGTTGTAATGAGTTGCTCAAACAGGCACAGGGTTGGCACCCGTGGCACAAAACCAAGGAAGTTGTAAAGAGCCTTTTTCTGTCCTCCTTATGCTGCTGCATTTTTTTTCTCCTTGATTCCACTCCTTCTCATAGATGTATCCATGTCTCTCTGTTTGCATTTTAGCATGAGAAAACAATAGCAATTGTTTTGCAAGATGGTATTCACTGTAGCTTTCAGCACAGCTGATTCCACCAAAGGTGCAAGGCACAGCAGTTGGCAATTTTTGTTATGAATCCCATGTTGCGGTAGAACACCCTTCCTCAGCTCAGTGCCCTCCAGGTCTTGGGGACTACGCAGTCCAGCATAGTCCATGGCTGGGGCTGATGGGAGCTGAAGTGTCAAACTCCTGGAGGAGGCCATGTGGGGAAAAGCAGACGAAATACACGAGAGGCGTTCTTTAAGGGTTGCCTTGCATGTAAACGAAAAAAGAAAAGCAAAACTTGCACAATCAGTTCTGAGGCGCTCCTTTAACTGTCTGCTGCATAGCAACTGGACATGGAAAGAGGAGCCTATCAGACATTGCCAGAAGGTTATCAAAAATGTCAGCTGGAGGCAGCTATCCTCAAGTCGATTGCTCCAAAGCCAGCCTTCCTGCCGACTCCTCTGGATTGACTCCAGTGTAAATCCGCTCGAGGCTCAAGGCCCATCTTGTTTGCTGGGCTTTTGTTGCAAAGGTTAAATATACATAGCATTGTCTAAGGAGGATTAAGAAACAGCTTTGTAAACTGTTGCTTCTAGTAAAGCAAAGCAGGTGCTTTGGGCCCGAAGCCCCCCTCAAAGGCTGCTCTCCACTGACACAACGTGGCTGCATTATTTGGCGAGAGCAAAGATGGGGTGGAGGAAAGCCGCATTTGGAAAGACCTGGGATGGAGATCACAGGATTAGAAGCTCTCTTATCTCTCCCTTCCTAAGGGCAGCAGAGGCTTTGAGCCAGGCAAAGCAAACTTTAGAACAAAATCCACACGAGAGAGCAGGCTGGCGAAAGGCACTTGAAACTCCGGCACTGATAAAGGATTCTCTGCAAGGGAGTCAGTCAAAGCAGTGCTTCGCTGGGGCCCAGCCGCACAGTGAGGCATTGTGCAAGC